TATATAGCGGTATATGTAGATACACACACCTGCATACATATATGTATATGTATATATACGTAAACGTATGTATGTATGTATGTATGTATGTATGTATGTATACATATATATATATGTACAAACAGACGTACAGATACAGAGAGAGAGAGAGAGAGAAATGAAGATATGCCAAGATGTGCATGAGTACATATATATATATATATACATATAAATATATATATATATATATATTTATTTATATACACATATATATTTGTATTTATATTTATATTCATATTTATGTGTATATTGATATCTATACTTATATTTATGTTTATATTTATATTTATATATTTAGCTATGTATTTATTTATCTATCTATTTACTTATTTTTTAATACATAAATACATATAGAGAGAGAGGGAGAGAGAGAAGGAGAGACATGTATGTGTATGTGTGTGTGTGTATGTGTATATACACATATATATATATGCATATGCACAACACTTTTCTGTCCGGTTTGAGTATCGATGTGGGATCAGTTTAGCTTGAGCTCAATCGTCATTCACGTCTTCATGCTCTGAAGCCGTAAGTTTACAAAGCTGCCGCTCCACACCCCCAACATTGCTCCAGGATGTTACGTCGGATCTTGGGCTCAAGATCGATGGACGGTTAGGGCTAGGAGGCTCGAAGCTGGGGCGGATCCCTGCACGGGGCAGTTTAGCAAAATAGCCCCGCAGGTCGAAACATTGCTCCTCCCCTTTCTTCCTTCTTTCTAGCTGCTACAACTTCTGGCACTGCCACGATCGCTCAAGGCTTCTACCATAAAGCGACGATTGCTGAGGGGCCCCGAAGAAAGGAGAGAGCTGCCTGGCCCAGCACGAAGTTCCCCGTGCCGCTGTTGGAGTCCACATGGGTCAGCCTCCCCCCCCCCCGCCGGGTCGCGAAGAAGTCAGGGGCTGAGCCATGGTTTAGGGTTTAGGGTTTAAGTTGAGCCTACAAAATCTAAGTCTTTTAGCCTTTTTTTCGCAGAATCGCAGAATCGCAATGACTATCAATCCGAAGGAGGACACTAAAGGACCTCAGCATCATGAACCCTGTGGCTGTAGTGTTTGGATCCGTCGGGTAGCGAGGGTTCTTGGTGCTGTGTTGCTCTGAGGGGATGAGCCAACACAGAATCTATTAAGCTGCTGGAGATTGCGAAATCCCGCGAGCCCTTAGAACCCCCGTTGGACCCGCGTTGGACCTCAACATCAACCTACCAATACCCTAACCCTAAACCCTAAACCCTAAAGCCTAAACGCCACAAGCCCAGGCCGCCCGGCGCAAAGGGGAGAACTTTCGTCTCCCAGACCAGGTGGGGGCCTGGCGCAGACACGTCTTCGGTGCATCGGGTTTTTGCGTGGGTGCCGAGCTCGGCTTCAGAGAGATAAGAGTGTGTAAGACTGTATAAGCTTACGCGTACATATGTAACTACGTAGTGATAGCGACGATGAGAGACATGATGAGAATGAATATGGGGGGCGTCTTCTGTAATCAGAACGATGTATCGCTACTCAGACTCAGCTGCATAGTTTTTTCGGTCATTCCACAGAGCCGGATGAGTCGAGAAACCCGAAGAACATGGAGCCCGGGAGATTGAGGTTTTGAGGGCTCTCGGGCTCCAGGGCTTCGGGCTTTGAGTTCATTGAGGGAGGCTTTAGGACGTTCAAGCCCTTCGGGCTTTGGATTAGGGCGAGCACTCAAAAACATGCTCCAAAGCAGAGATGGGGGCCATGAATCGTGAATGCACTGGGAGTCCTTGCTGCTTCTGTGCCCATGACTAGCCGGCACCCTTCCACCCCAAGGGCCAAAAAGGAAAAGGAAGAGTAAACCCAACAGCAGCCGCCACGAGATTCCTTAGACAGAGTGTGAGGCTGTCTCAGACGACCTGCGAGGCATCCCCCGTGCTTCGGCCTCGTTTCGCACCCCCCGGTGGAGACTCGCCGTGGCGAGCCGAGTCCCCTGCCCAGTAGGCTTCTGGGCCGGAGCAGTGGGTTTGGGGTGAAGGGCAGGTGAAGGGGTTCAGGCACCTGAACACCAACCATAAATCTTAGAAAGTATAGAAGCCAAGCGTCGCTGTCAGCCCCAGACATCCTCACTGTCACTACGGTATCTTGGGCACCTCATTCCGATGGACCGGATGCCAAAAAGAAGGTGTCGGCACAGGACCAAACGCCCAAAGAGAATCGGGTCCTCGGCAGTATTTCTGTAGCTTTGGGGCCAAGACAGCCCTAAACCCTTTAAACCCTCACCCCACCTGCTCGTTCGTCCACGGGGACCTTGGCATATCTTGCGATTTAGGGTTTGCGGCTTCGGGGCTTTCGGGATTTCTGGGGTTTTGTGTTCCACATTGAGTGAGGCCCCATGCCCGGGCTTTTGACCTCATGAAGTACCAGGCAACCTTCGACCGCTCTCTCCAAGCAAAACGTGTCGACTGGGACTAGTGAAACCTCCGTCGGCCAGAGACAGGCAGCAGGGGGTAGGGTTTAGGGCTTAGGGCTGCCAATCCTGGACGGCATCGAGATTAGGATCCTCAAGCCCAGCTACAAGAGACGACCCTTTCCGACAACTCCCTAAGATCACTTAGGCACCAACTGCTCCTTAAAGGCCCCGGAATCAAAGCGCAGACTTGAACCCTCAAGGATCTCAGCTTTAACCCTCAAGGATCTCAGCTTCCTGCACATTCCGGCAGGATCTGCTTTCGGATCTCCACGGAGCATACTCCGACGTCCCGATTCCTGCAGGATCTTAAGTCCCAATCGGCTCCTACCCGGGGTTTAGGGTTTAGGGCCTAGGGTACACTACACTCTGGTACTTTACTTAAAAACCTACTGGAAACGCTTCTGCTTGTAACCGGCAAGGAAGAGGGTTTACAGCTTAAGGCGCCTGGCAAGGTTCATTTGGAAGGGGCCGAGGTAGACGTCGCTCTTGGTGTGGAGCCACAGCTGGACCTTGAGCAGCTTCTTTGATCTTCTCGGGTTTGGGTCGTGGGACCTTGCCATGTGCTTGTTGCCAGGGTGGACCACTGCAGCGGCTGCACACAAATAGTCAGCATCACAATGACAATCGTCATCAACAGTATGACATCCGTATGCTCACCCCGACCACGTCAGAGGAAAAACGCTTGCGCGTCCTCAAGATCTAGTTTCAAGTTGGAATTGTCTGGCTCTTTGGTTGGGGGAGCCCGGGGCTCTTGAGGGTGTGGGGGAAACTTTGCGCCTTGAGATAAGGTAGCCCAACCACGACACAACTGCTTTTGCTAAGTAGCCACTGTAGCTGCGTCTGAAAAAACGCCCCAAAAAAAACGCACCCCGAGTTTTGCATGTAGTGATTGCAGGAAATTGAAGATCGGGAGGGCGGGCAGATGCTACCACAGCAGCTGCACGGAATCCAGCGCGTCATGTGCCCGTGCCTTGAGCACTAAACTGCGAGGCCCAAAACTCAAAGACCACAACACCCCACTCCTGAAATCCCCACGTCCCCGAACACGAAAGCCCGGAAAAACCCAAGTACGGCCGAAATCTTAGAGCCATAAAAAGGCCAGTGCGCCGTCTGCCCAGCCATGATGTCGTTCACCGAGGCCGCGAAGGTCAGTCTTGGGAATGTCAGCACATGGGAGGTCCAAGTGCTCGGCTTTTGGGACATAACCTTCGGGTTCTGGTTTAGGGTTTAGGGTTTATGGTTTAGGGTTTAGGGTTTAGGGGGATTGCGGCATTTGAGGGATCTAGACATGGCGAGTGGAAGCGGGTTAAGTCAATAGGGTGGGAGCTCCAATGGCAAACCCTTGCCTGTGTTCAGGGCATCGATGACCACTACGATTCTGTCAAGACTCGAAACTTTCCGTCATGAAGCGCCAGGCTTCACTCCATCAAAGCTGACACCGAAGCAAAGCCAAGTCTCTGAAACGAAACCGGGCCCTAAACCGATAGTCGGCTTCTGCAGCCCCGAACCTCCGACCTGCCCAAGAAGCTCTCGTGTCGCGAGAGGCCGAAAGTTGCAGAGGCCCCGGCGTTTCGTTGAACTTCCAATCACAGGAGGGGATGTCATCATCAACTGAGCATCAGAGGCTCGGATTCTAAGACGGCATTGGGACTAGCTGCCGTTGCCCTCGAATCCCTCGTGTCACCAGGCCTGGGCTTGCATTGCTTGCATCAACCCAGGACCCTGAACCCTAAAAAAGAAAGGCCTATGATACCCCGGTCAGCCCTGGCATCTGAAGCCACAGCTCTGCCTGCACTAAGCGAAAGCTGAATAGAACCCACACCACAGGCCCGACACTGCCTACGCAGCCGTGTGATGGGCTCACACCCTGCAGCCTCCACCCCCAGAACCGTTCCCAAGCAAACATGCCAAGACCTGAGTTAACACCCTAAACCCTAAACCCTAAACCTAAACCCTAAACCCTAAACCCAAAGCACTACACGCAATCACCGGATCTCCCTGACGGATGAGGCAGCCGCCTCCGAAGTCTTCGTCGTCGTCCGCCACGTCTCCGAACTCCGTCTCCTGGCTCCCAGGGGCTGCAGAGAGGTTAGGGTTTAGGGTTTAGGGTTTAGGGTTTAGGGTTTATGTTATTGTTTAGGGCTTAGTGCTCCCATGCAGAGAGCCTCAACAGAACTTAAAGGGCTCTGGTTCTCGAGCACATCTCGAACTCCTTGGCCGGAGTGCCCTGGATCCTCAACCCTCAAAACCCCAACTCGAAGGCCGCATCTCCTCAAATTTTCCCAACTACCATACTTTTGGGGGGTTCGTTACCCTAATCATAGGAGAAACATACCCCTAAAGAGCCCTCTTCCAATTCTTAAGGACCCCCCGCCCTCTTGAACCCGAGCCGATGCACTTTTCCCTGCAACCCTCGAGCCTTCCGCACGTTCCCCAAGACGGCCGCCACTCGCGGCCTCTCCCTCGTAAGGAGCCCGTTGTCGGAGAGCCCCGGGATGGACCTGTGACTCCATTTATGTGCCAGTTTGGGGATTTGGTTTAGGGTTTAGGGTTTCGGGTTTTCGGGTTTAGGGTTTAGGTGTTGAGAGTCTTGTATTCATGCCCTCGGCGGAGTGATCAGGGATCAGAGTTGCAGGCTAGGTAAGTCTGTCCTACCCCCTTGAGCACATGCCCCATAGCCAGAGCTGAAGTAACACTCGGCTGTCGGAAGTCTTTCAACTCGCGCTGGCTCTCGAAATGTCAGAGAATGAACGACGAAACTCAAAGCAGAGCAAAGAGGGAGAGCACTCTGCAGCTTGGGAGCATGTGCCGTGCCAAAAGGGCCCCAAGTGATTTTCTTGCCCAGACCTGGGCATCTTCGAAACCTCCATGCAACGAGCAGATTTTGCCGTTACATGTCTTCGCCACCACGATGCTTTGGCTGTCCTGGTGTTGCACATGCCCTTGCACTGGAAAAGCCCAGGGCTTGTTCAGTTTCTACCCGGGTCCCAAAGTCCTAAACCCTAATTAGGCCGGCCCGAAGCTTCCCAAACTATTAAACCCCAAACCCAAACCCCAAACCCCAAACCCTAAACCCCAAACCCTAACCCCAAACCCTAAACCCCAAACCCCAAACCCTAAACCCCAAACCCCAAAAAGCCTATAAACCCTAAACTGGACCCCTTGGGTTTCTAGGGCCCGGGCGCAGCAATCACCCGCACGGACAGTTTAAAAGTTTCCGCCTCGGCTCGCGTGGCCCAGGGCCAAGCCAAGAAGCCCCCTTTTGCCCCTCAAAAAAAGGGGGCTGAACCGGGTTTAGGGCTTGGGGTTTAGGGTTTAAGGTTTAGGGTTTAGGGTTTGGGGTTTAGGGTTACTACAGTAAGAGTTTTCTTGCGGGTTGTACCAGTGTACCAGCGATGTCACGCTGAGCCAGAGAGAAACCCCCAAGCGCCAAACGCGGTCAGTCTTCCTCGCGGCTGGATCCTCCGATGACTGCTTCACAAGGCTCAACTTCTCAACCTAATCCAACTGCAAAATCCCAGACGAACTGAAGAACACCCGTAGTTTCAGCCCTGAAACCCACACTCTGAACCATCGTTTCCGAGTCCCTGAAAACTTGCGCCCCCTCCACCCGAAACCCAGAAAGCCCGGACGCCCCGAACCCACAGCTCTCTGTCACAGGATCCCTCCAGGGGCAAAGCTTCGTTGACTCTGCGGCCTGGGTTGAGCCAGCTTCTGGGTTCAGGATCAGCTTCGGTTTAGGGTTTAGGGTTTATAAGGTTCAAAGGGTTTAGGGTCTAGGGGTTTAGGGTTTAGGGTTCAAAGGGGCACAAAAGGGCTCGGGGAAAGGTGTAGCAAGGTTTCGGCAGACAGGATGCGGATAATCTTCGATTGGTCAATGGGGGGGAGGGGGAAAGTCTTGAAATTCCAAGCACCTTGGAATAGGAAGTCTGTTCAGCATGACCTCGTGTTTCGCCAGGCATCTTTCACCTCATCCTAAACCCCTAAACCCTTAAACCCTAAACCCCAAACCCCTAAACCCTAAACCCCTAAACCTGATCGGAACTCGATTGTATTCTCCGTCCAAAATCTCACGTCCCGCTCACGCTTTTTTCCCCGAGGCTCGAACCCTGCGAACCCTACAGTCAACTTCGCTTCCCATGAAGGAACCCTAAACCCTAAACCCTATAACCCTAAACCCTATAAACCTAAACCCTATAACCCTAAACCCTATAACCCTAAACCCCTAAAAACCTAAACCGTTTGGCTCTGGGGGAGCCCGCTGAGGTGCGGGAGCTGCAGATCGCTCAAGCGATTCTGAACCTTGGCCGAAGGGCTTTTTAGGGTTTAGGGTTTAGGGCTCAAAGGGTTTAGGGTTTAGGGTTTAGGGCTTGAGGTCGAGGGTTTCTTGAGTTTAGCGAGACGTTCGCTAGTCACTATGGCACTAATTGGTCTCCAACTCTCATCCTTGGCCACTGATTTGTTTTTGAGGCTTCAAAAGCTGGGTGATTTCCCTTTAGAAATCCAATTGGGTTACATGAGGCTTGGAGTATTCGGACTGCAACAAACTTGAAACTGCCAGCACTGCGACGAGGTGCCCAGAGGCCGCCAGAGAAGGCAGCAATCGCCTGGATCATGGCCTTTGCTGGCACCCGACGTTGTCTGCCTTTTGCGTTTTGGATTTACAGCTCCCAGTACATATCCTAAAGCCGCAACTGCCTTAAGCTTCTGACGAGTATCGGCGTAGGTATCAACAGATCTCAAGATTGCTAAAGGCGGGAAACAGGGAGATGTCATTCAACCCAAACAGAGCAAGCCCCAAAGCATCTCCTGGCCTCAAGTCCCCGGGGCTTTCACGGAGAATCCATCGCCCACTGGAACAAATTTCGTGGTATGGCTCTTGGGGTGCAAAAATGCTCAAGATGCTGAATATGCTGCTATTGTCGCCACTATCTACCTCTGCGCCTCAGAGCAATGCCTCTGAGCTTTGTGCAAACTTCACTGCTTCACATTTACTAACCCTCTAAAAACCCGATATCACCAAAAACACAGAGCTATCACAGCTCGAGGTGGAGATCATGTTGCGGTGAAACAACAAAGGCTTTCTATCTTAAGCCGGTACTCTCTTCACAAGCCACTCTGATCAATAGTGGAACGAAAAAGGGGTCCCAAGGAATGAAGAATTTCTCTCACATGGACAGCATGGGACGCAATGCTTATTTCCTTCAGCTGTAGTGTAACACAGGAAATCAACATAATGTATATGTTGATCCAATCTATATGTTGCGCAAATCTCCATTTGTCAATCACATAGTCAATATAGTCACCCGTGATTTCATCACAAGTGTAATCATCTGAGGTACGCTAAGAATGATTCCCAAAATCATCTATACAAAGATAATGTTGAAAAATGCTGACGACTGCACTCACTCACTCGGAGACCTTCATCTTACACTAGCCGTGGGGCGAATTCAGGTGATTCGGCCATAGCCATTGTTGTGGCATCTCCATGGGATACCACAGGTTTCGTCGAACATACCCTCATCTCCCCCGGGCGGGCGGGTGGGTTCAAATAAATTTTTCTGCTGCCTACGAGCAGAAATGTTGCTGATGACAGATAACTCGGCAATCAGTCATCACAAACATGGTTGAAAAGACATGCATGTTAGCATTGCTCTAGAAGAACATGCATGTTGACATTGTTGCTATGTTATGTTGTACAATTAGAGAAAAACACTTACAACAATTGTCAAATGAAAAAATTTTCGAACAGCACGACATGAAATAAGGCCCTATCCATCTCGATGGAGGACTGTCTTATTCCTTTGCGGTTTGGGTCAGTGTAACGGCACATGAACACTCTGTAGCAAACACCTACAGAAGTCTTACAAGACCTAACAATACCGAGACCTCATACCGTTGCAAATGCATCCGCAGAGTGCATGCGGCCCAGGTGCGAACTGCTGCTAACATGCCCAACGCATGAACGTGACGAATATCAGTAGACTTTCTAGACACATGATCACATGCGACATGCATGTCGAGACATAGCGTGAGCATGTCCTGCCACAGCCCTACGGCGCTACGGCCACGCGTCCAAGTGGCCGCATCTGCAAAGAGGCCCTGATACTTCTCTAGCTTCTCTATTGTTACGCAAAAACATTCATAAACTCGAAACCACGCCCTGAATGGCCCTGAACCCCAACCGGAGCCCTGAACCCCTAAAACCCAGAAGACCACGAGCATCGACTCTTCCTTGCAATCGGTGTTAGTTGCCATCGCATTTCGCAACCGGCCCCGGATCCGGGCGCATTTCGCCTGAAAAAACCGCCATATTCGGAGTATTCTCGACCGGCTCTCACCCAGATGTCCCAGGCCTGCAGCTTTTCAGGAAGAGGAATGGGGGGGGGGGCGGTTCGCACTTCTGAGAGCCTCTTTAGGGTACGGTCGACTACATTCTGTTCACTCATTAGACCCTCCGTGATGGTGGCTTTTGGGAAGGGCAAGCTTGAAAGTGGGGGACATGACCTAAAGATCACGGCCATCTCGCGCACCTGAAGAAAAGCCCTAGAGTAGGCCAGATCGCGTGCCTCACAACCTTCAACAACGATGTCTATCCAGAAGAACCCAAAGGGCATCATCAGACAGGTTCATGCGCATGCATGTGTACATCTATACATACAGGTTTTGCACAGTCGCTAACCGTTCACAAACAACCGATGAACGTCGGCCTGCGCAGCCTTTCACACTTTACTGTCAGCACCCTGCCTCTGCGGGAAGATGTGGCCAGGCACCGGGAGGTTGAAAGGAGTACACGGCCACTACGCAAGCGACAAGGGCGTTCTCCCACACGACGGCTTCCCTACCGGGAAGAGTCCGGCACAGTCCGGAGCAGAGACTTGGGTCCGACAATCTGCGGCATAGGGGGTTCCTTATTTTGGGGTCCTTATAACAAGGATCCTACTATTTAGGGTACTAAAGTCGGATGAGCCCAGGTCGTGCACGCTTGTTGGCAATCGCGGCATCGACTTCTAGCAGAGCGCACGCGCCCTGGCTGCGCACTGTAAGCGAATCCGGGAATGCAGCGAGGGAGCTCCAACGTCAGTCGATACCAAGCCAGCCATTAAGTCTTCTTCAGATTGCGAGCTACATGACCCCACCCATGGCGGGCAATGGCCAGATAGAAACAGAAGGTTGAAAGGCTCGGGAAGTCAGCAGCGTTGACGTTGACTTGAGGCATGCTTCCGGGCTACAATCCATTCAGACGCTTCACATCTTCTCATGCAGAGGGTGAGGACGCACTCTTTTTAGCAGCATTCCCCACCAAAACCCCCACCATCAGAGCGCGGTAGACTCACCCTTCTCTCAGTCTCGAGGGAGCAGATGCCATCGAACCCCATGGCCCATGGAGGACGGCCCCATCCCTGGCCATGGCCATCCGCCGAAAACATCAAAAGAGTGGTAATATATATATATATGTCTTAGGTAGACCTGGCTGTACTTTTTGGCAGCCTCTTCGCTACACAATCGGTTTGGAGGAGAATGGTACCTCATGGCTGGTGTATCTTATTGAAGGCACCGCTGGTTCAATAAGCAAGATCCATGAGTGAACCGAGGGAACCGTGACACTCCGACGGGCACAGCTTCCGAGAGACAAGGACTCGCGGCATCACGGAGTTGAAGGCACGGCCTCACAGCGGCATTGCAGCATGGCAGCATGTCCCAAGTCAGCTGCTGAGACTTGCTCGAAGGTCCCGTGGAATGAGATCAGGAGGAGTGGCTTCTTGCAGAAACACCGGACAGCGTGGTCCCCAAAGCCATTCGACAGAGTCTGCCAGCTTCACTTGCTACAACTGTGATCAGGCCGTGGTCTAACAGACCGTGCCGACGTTTTGCCAGGCATTGGCAGGGCTGTGATGGAACTCCAGAGAGACGGAGATGGGGCCGCCGCTCAATTCCACAGACGCCTCTGCTCCACCTGCTTCCTTATGCGATCAGCCGCCGAGCTGCGCAAGCTGTATCCAACACGCAATCGGATCGAGAGCGTGGTGGTCCTCCTGAGTTTCAGAGCATGCTGCCGTCTTCATACCCAACTGGCGCACGCCTCCTCGCACTCACGCGTGCTCTTGCCCGCAGATTGGTGACAAGAAGCTTCGACCGGGCAAGGATTGCATCACGAGGCTTTTAAAAGTATCCGAATAAGCAAAATAGATCTGGCTTGTGTCTTTGGCGCTTGGAATCGGCATGCCAAACAGCCGTCAACACCCACTTGGGCCAAAATCGTGATCGGCTGTTTGTTGTCTGGCTGCCAGCACACTGCACAAGTCGAGACATGCAGAGATCGATTCGGAAGCTGATCGAAGGCTTCGCGAACCTCCTGCATGTCACCTCATCCTTGCAGCTTATTTGGGGCGCAGAAGCAACTGGGACACACCTCTCATCGGACGGATGCAGGCCCCTATCCGTACTCATGACAAGATGTGACAAGATACTGTCAGCGCCCAATCAGGTCGAATCAAAGATGTGCCTTGTGACAAGCCTTGTGCGACTCAGATCGATTGGCCGAGTCGTTGTCAGAGTACGTGTCTCCGAGGGACCATGAACAGCCCTGCATGTGCTTCCCGACTTTTCAGCCGAGAGAGCACGGTAGAGAGAGACTGCAACGAAAAAAATCATGCAAGGGCATTGATGGTAGAACGTATGCGAGCTTTAACATCCACACCAAGCTATTGCAATGAGAGCCGAATTCTGTGCTGAAGGCCTGTGACCAGACCAAGCTTGCATCGCCTTCCACTGCTCTGGCTGAACACGGCTCTATGCACCAGGGGGCAAGCAGAAAAAGCGTCTGCAAGCGTTCTATCGCGACGACAAGAGCAAGTAGCTGCGTCGGAGCACGTGCGTCAAAGGGAAGGCCCCGAGGATCTGAAAAATCACTGCGGGAGTGCCTGTGATTCTGATACACAAAGTGGTCGCTCTTGCTCCAGAGACCTCACGAAAGAAGTGAAGCCCTCCTAGGGCACGGACAGGGACAGCAGGTCGGCGGGAACTCACACCGGCATGACTTCCTCGAGGAATTGCGGGCCGGGGCTGCTTGACCTGCTTGCCAAGCGGGTGACCTGATAGAAGCAACAGGAAGGCCTGGGGGATGCAAGCATGTCATTCCCAGCAACACAACAACTCATGCTAATTATGCACCCAGCGGAAGACGCCGCGGTTTTGGCCAACCTGCTGCACCATTGACCCAGCATCCGAAAGGGGTGGCTGCCGTCCCTGAGACCACTATCCCGACCCGCCATGCGACGACATGGTGCTACAAGCTCACATCTGTCAAAGATCGGCATGTGAAAAGGGCAGGGTGCTTAGGCAAAGGCAGACATTCCTCGCAGTGCTCCCAGGTTAAGCAGTTAAAATCTCGCTGCAGGAAGCGCGGACGAGCGCGAATGCTCGTGAAGGACAGTCATGTGACGAGAACGGCACCTTTGAGCCAGCATTTGACCGAACGATTCGCGTGGATCCCGACTCGCCATGCAGCGACACGGTGCTACAAGCTCACGTCTGTCAAAGATCGACATGTGAAAAGGGCAGGGTTGCAGCCTCAGCAAGCTGCAGGATGCGGAACACAAATGTGCGTGGGCCTGACGTAGAACCCTTTAAGCGGCGCAGTGACACTTCAGCCTTGCATGACGTCAGTCAGCTGGTGCTCAGGCAAAGGCAGACATTCCTCGCAGTGCTCCCAGGTTAAGCAGTCGAAATCTCACTGCAGGAAGCGCGGACGAGCACGAATGCTGGCGAAGGACAGTCATGTGACGGGAACGGCACCTTTGAGCCAGCATATGACCGAACGATTCGCGTGGATCCCGACTCGCCATGCAGCGACATGGTGCTACAACCCATCTGTCAAAGATCGGCATATGAAAAGGGCAGGGTTGCAGCCTCAGCAAGCTGCAGGACGCGGAACACAAATGTGCGCGGGCCTGACATAGAACCCTTTAAGCGTCACAGCGCCACTTCAGCTTTGCATGACGTGAGTCAGCTGGTGCTCAGGCAAAGGCAGACATTCCTCGCAGTGCTCCCAGGTTAAGCAGTCAAAATCTCGCTGCAGGAAGCGCGGACGAGCGCGAATGGTGAAGGACAGTCATGTGACTGGAACGGCACCTTTGAGCCAGCATATGACCGCACGAGTCACGTGGATCCCGACTCGCCATGGTGCTACAAGCTCACGTCTGTCAAATATCGGCATGTGAAAAGGGCAGGGTTGCAGCCTCAGCAAGCTGCAGGACGCGGAACACAAATGTGCGCGGGCCTGACATAGAACCCTTTAAGCGGCACAGCGCCACTTCAGCTTTGCATGACGTGAGTCAGCTGGTGCTCAGGCAAAGGCAGACATTCCTCGCAGTGCTCCCACGTTAAGCAGTCGAAATCTCGCTGCAGGAAGCGCGGACGAGCACGAATGCCAGTCATGTGACGGGAACGGCACGTTTGAGCCAGCATTTGACCGAACGATTCGCGTGGATCCCGACTCGCCATGCGACGACATGGTGCTACAAGCTCACCGCTTTAAGCGGCGCAGTGACACTTCAGCCTTGCATGACGTCAGTCAGCTGGTGCTCAGGCAGAGGCAGACATTCCTCGCAGTACTCCCAGGTTAAGCAGTCGAGATTTGTCATCGAGCGATTGAACCATCAGGACATGCATCTGCGGCGGTTTAGCATGACCTAAACAAAGAGGGCCTCATTGAGAGCAGAGCTTTGAGTGCAGGAGGGACTCACCGTTGCCGCGATGCTACTGCTTGCTGAGTTGAAAGGGGTTGCATCCAGAGAGCCGCACGCCAGGCTCCTACAGGGATCGCAAGCATGGCAGAGACGGCTGAGGGAAAGCTGCCGCCAAAGGCTGCGAATGCTCGTTCGGCGAAGCCGAAGGACAGCGAAAGCGCTCCAGCCGGACTTCTTCCGGGCCGGACAGGTAACGCTCACTGGGCACGTCGTGCTCCGCCTGTTCGCAGGCTGCTGCCAGAAGCACGAAGTGGAGGCAGGTGCAGATTGAGACCAAGGCTTTACTGCTGGCTCAGGAGGGCGATGTGAAATGCGTGCTGCTGCACGCATACAGAGATCCTTCCTTGTACAGGCCAACAGCCCTAATGGCTGGTTCGCAATTCAGAAGTTTGGCTGACCTGCTTATGATAAATTTCATCAAACCCGCCACATATATCCACCTGGTCTCTCAACTAGTAATATTACATCATTGAGCGCATATGAACACTACAACACTTGTGGAAGTAGCAGGATGAAACCGCTGCTTGAAGGTCCGATCGCACGCGGGCAGAACTGCCGAGCCGTGAAGAGAAGCACCTTGATGCTTGACACTGGCTAGCTATCCCCGACGGGAAACCCTGACTTTCCGCTATGGCAAAGCCTGCAAATCGAAGGTCACCAGCTGGACCACTGTACCAGTCCTGGTGTCAGGCATCAGCATCCGCGGCGCTGTCGCCATGCTCGCCGAAAGGTCGAAGATGGAAGCAAGACACGTTGTGCTTCCAGTCCGGCATCTGCAATGAAAACACGCAGGAGCACGCATGTGTGGGCAGGCAGCATGACACGACGCTTTGGGAGACCATGCAGCCATAGCACTTAAAAACTTGGAGGCCAAGCAGCTTGGCCCTATTCGAGGTGGCGGGCGGCCTACCGAGCTTCGCTCTGGCTTACACGTGACTCCTCGAACATCAAAAGAAGCCCAATGGGTCGAAGCCTCGGCGCCGGCCAGCATCCATGCTTGGTCCGATAGGGCAGGCTCCCTTGCAAATCCGAGCTGAGCAGTTGGCCACCGTGAGCAGGCTGTCTTGCACAGTGCGACTGCAGTACACTCGCAGGCTCTGGATTCCGCTCGTCGCTGTGCCCGCGGGCCGAACCGATTGAACAAAGGTCGTTCTGGAAGTCTCCACACCGAGCTGCACAAACAGCTCATGGATTTGTTGCGTGGACCACGGACTCTCGGTGGAGAACAAAGCCCTGCTAACATCCATGCAAGGTCCTCCAAGAGCATGGGATCCTTTGGCCAATGCGACAAGGCACAAAATGCACATGACCAACTGGTTACCGTGCTGTGCACTGCACGTCCACAGGAGAGCAAACCGACATCACACAAGCTGCGCACACGAGCAGAGCCCTCTGGCTCGCATGGCCTGCAAAACCGCGAACTTGCAAATCGACGAAGGTCCTGGGCGCAGTGAGCAGCACTACTGATATGGTCCAGCTCGCGTCAACATCCACTATGTTGTCCACATGCTCGCCGAAAGCTGCAAGATGGGAGCAAGGCGTCTTGTGCTTCCATGGCCAATGGCAGATCATCTGGCAACGTTCACATTGCAAGGCCGTCGCTGCGGTGGAAACACGCAGGATCGCGCAGGTATGGGCAGGCATCACGACGCTTTGGGAGACAACACAGCAACTGCAAAATAACTTGGAGGCAAAGCCAGGCAAAGCCGCTCGGCCCTGTTCGACAGGTGGCCAATCCGGTGCTACGGTGCTGATGACCTCCTCGAACATCTGGAAGCCGACATCTGTCCTGCATGCTACACTCACGGCGAGCTGACAGCACTGCGAGAAGAATTTTTTCAAAACAGGTGGGCAGCCCTCCATCATCTGTGGATCATGCCGTGGCCAGCGACAAGGTGGTCTCGGTTTCGCATGCTGCACCTGCGCAACAACCATCTACATATGCCCGTGGTGTCGTACTCGCACTTTCCCTCAGAGCGGCGCCAAACAAGACTCCGACAGTCCCCAAGGAGGGTTATGCACCAACCGAGCAGAAGTGGTGCTCCGACACGGAAGGCCAGGCTAGCGGTCGCTAGCTAGAGCTTCGCAGCTTCTTTTGCCACCGCACTTGGAAACTCTCCATTGGCTTGTCCGGCCGGAAGTCCTACAGGAGCCCTGGGGATACACATCCAGGTCATCGGCAGTCGAAACCAAAAGCTTCAGCACTTGTTCCCGCTGTTCCCGCAAGTTTGTAGCCAATGAATGGCCGCTAGCCGGCAGAGAAAAGACCATACCAGGAGGCTGCAGGGATTCCCAATCGCTTCCACTCGACGGCCTGGGCCAGGGTCGCTGTAAAAGCCTGGGCCAGGCTGAGCACTTGCCCTCGGGTGGCCAACGGGAGCGACGGGAGGAACGTGCAGGCCATCACCTCCTGTATGTAGATCTCCATCACGCGATGAGAGGCCCAACGGCCCCTCCTCCTCACAAGCTCGCTGTTTTCTGTCATCGCCAGCAGGTGTGTCGCTCCTCCAGGCCTGAAAGAGCCTAAGTCCAAGGGGCGCTGGTGCTGCCGGGCTGTGCTTACCCCAAGCCTCTCCAGCACTAGGTCGAACCAGTCGGGCCCAGGTCGCCAAAAGCAGTTGCGATGAGCAGCACCAAGTCGGCCTGCTCAACCTTCGCGGCCTGATGCCTGGCCGTACGCAACCTTGTCTTCGGCTCCTCAATCCTGGCTAAGATGTGCTGCTGGGACAAGAGGACGTCCTGCGGTAACACCAGGTTCGCTCTGACCATGGAGGTGGCCTCTCCGATCCGGAGAAGGCCCCCCCATGCCAAAGCGAACAACCCTGCCTCTGGTAGCCAACCCCAGCACAAACAAGTTGCCAGCATAGCCAAAAGAATAACAGCAGGCATAGCAACGTGGTGAGTCGAGGGCTCAAGGGCCATCCAGGAAAAGGCTAGATCCCAAGAGGCCTGCATGGCCCTCTTGAGGATCGGTTTCCTCGCCGTGATGCCGTTGATGAGCTCAGAGTAATGCCAGTAGGGCCGGCCACTCTCAAACAACAGCCGGCCGTAGCAAACAACCCAGTCGTTCACAGTCTCGGCCGTGGCCTTGTTGCTGTCGAGGAGGTCCTCCAGGTCTAGGCCACATGACCTAAGCCAGTCGCCAAAGAGGCTCAGCAAAAAAGCCCGGTTCTTGGTGGTCCTTTCCAGAACAGGCCTGCCTTGGGCCAGCGCAAAGCCGGCTCGGGCTTTGGCGCGGGCCCGGTCTCGGTGGTTGCGGGGCTCAAGCGGGGGGGCCTCGCTCACAGGTGTCTGAGGACCCTCACCTGGAAAACCCAAAGTACTGTCGAAACCCTTCTGGCACACGGGCTGCTGGCGGGCCGCTTTGCTGCTCTGAGGTGGCTTCGCGTCCCTGAACTTAAGGGTTAGGGCCTTAAGGAAAAGGGTGCCGTCCGAGCCGGGGGAGGAGCAGGCAAGCAAGAGGCCAAGTCGAAGCCAGTTGGCGGAGGGACGGGACAGGCCCCCAAGACAGGAAAGGCCGTAGAGGTCCCGCTCTTGAAAGGCGCTGGCAAGACAGCCGGGGACAGGCAAGGGCAGGGGGCGGTCACGAGTCGGGCAGTCTGAGGTGTTGAGGCGCGTTGGGCAGAAGTGGAGCGCGGGGTAAAGTCCAAACCCGACCTGCAGCGCCGCCGCCTTCATAACGACCGGCCTGAGCAATCTCGAGCTGGTCCGGCCCTTGAGCGCAGCACCAAGCACAACACTAGAGTCAACGGCATGGACAAAACGCTGCTCGTCGCAGGCAAGGGCACGCAGGCGCAGGGCACGTAAGAAAGCGCGGCCCTCAAGCACGTTTATGTGCGTGCGGTCCCGCCACGGCCATGCAGACTCGGAGGCCCACTGGTGCGAGACCATGATGTCGTTGAGCAGGATGTTCTCCAGACCGGTGGCAGGTGAGGCCAGGGGCTGCGGGCCAAGCAGAGCCTCAAAGCACAGCGCAACAGCGAGCGGAGTGGCAGGCTTGCACTCAGACTGAAGCTTCTCGAAAGGAGACGGGCCCGAACAGGCAGCCGGAGAGAGGAGGGCCACAACGGGGGGCCCGGGGATAGAAAACACGTCACAGCCTGCAAGAGTAGCCTCCTTGAAACCGTGGGTGGTGACGAGGCTCAGCCAGTGGGGCAGAAAACGAGCACGAGAAGAAGAGGGGTGGAGCAGCACCGCCGGAACGCCACAGCGGCCAGCGACCAGCATGATGGCGAGGGCGGCTGCGAGGAGCTTGCGATCCTTGGCAAGGGCACCGGGGCTGCTTTTGGCACGGGGCCGTGCAAGGTGAGAGAAAGAACCGACGGGAGGCACCACAAGTATTGAGCGAAGCCGCTGGTGCTGAATCAACCAGAGAACCCATTCTAGGCAGGCTGGGGCCGAAATCCTGAAGAAAGGGGAGGCCTGTGCATCAATGACAGGGCCCAGCAGGAGGTGTGGAGGGAAGGCGGTCGAGGCCCAAGGCCCACCAGTCCGAACCTCAAGGAAATCATACAGCATCGCGGGCGGTGTTTGGGGAGAGGGAGGGGCAGGGCCTGCTTCCTCATCCGACAGCTCATCTTCACCAGAGGGGGCCTCGTGGGAGTCCTGCAGCTTAGTGTACCAACCCTTCTGGCCAGCAGTTTGCCACAAGTGTTCTGCCACGGCCGGGCACACGTCCGTAGTGCACACGGCGCCTTTCTCGAGAGAGGCGTCCGAGCAGCCAACCTTGCAGCTGATGGGCGCGGCAACGTTGGACACCATCACGGGGGCCAGGGCCGCAAGCAGCACGAGATCTTGACGAGCGGCGGGCCCAAGGGGCTGCAGGTGGCTGCCTCCTGTCTCGGCAGTCTTTTTGCCAACGGCGAACAGGGGGCCGATGGCGGCCATGAGACACCTTCGGTAAAGGAGGGAGGTGACCCAGCAACCAGCAAGGACGGAGGCAAGCTCTTCGCTGACAAAGCGGCCAGACGCAACTTCAAGGGAGGCATGGGCAAGGGCAAGGCGGCGCGGAGCAGGGAGCCCAACAAGCACACAGCCGGCCTGCACGGAAGCGGGGGAGGCGTCGACCTGCGCCCCGGCGACGGTGAAGACTCGTTGGCTGAAGACGTCCTTCGGGCCGGAGCCCTCGACACCTTCCCTGTGGTAGGCCTCCTTGGCTTTACGCAGCAAACGCTCACCTTCTGACACAACGGGGCGGGCGGCGCCCGACAAAGGACCTTCTTCACGACCTGGCTCGCGGGCTGCTGCCTCGCACGAGATGCAAAACAGGTCGTCTATCACCAGACCTGTCCAAGGGCCACGGGTGGCAACTGGGCACCGGTTAAGGAGTCTGCCGCCGGGGGGATCACCAAGGACACCGGCTGACCTCAACAATCCCTCGTGGCCTGAACAAGCAAACTCGACCCCGGCATGGTCACCCTGGAAAAGGCTCTTGAAGGCACCGTGCACCTTGAGCTCCGAGGAAACAAGAACCGGAGAGGGCCTGAAGGAGCCTGGCGGGTCGCAGGCCTCGAGGTAGGCCCGGTCGGCAGCGGCAAGGAACTCCTGCAACGCTTGGGTCCCAAGGAAATCCTTGAGGCAGAAGACAGGTGCCACGGCGTTCGTCGACGCCCGCTGGGGGGTCACAGCTGCCTGGTGGTAGAAGTCCTTTCTGTCAACGCAAGACCCGTACAGCGCATGGGTCCGACGGGGGCAGGTAAGCCTGACAAGCTGGAAGCCGGACGGGAGGCGTCGGGACGGGCCGTCGGTTATCCTCGCCTCGCGGTTGTTCATGTGCCTGCGGTCGCCAATCTGCCTGTCCCTGTCCTGGTCCTTGTACGACCCAAACACACGGGTGAGCCGGTCCTCCTCCAGAGGGCCAGGGACGAGGTGCAGTAGTCCAAGCTCGTCCCACTTTCGCAGCAGGCCCGTGGTAGTGGAGCTCCGCTCGTGCTTAAAACAAGGGCCCGGGGCCGGCTGGGGAACAAAGGTCTGCAGAGCCCGCGGCTCAAGGAAAGGGAGAAGCAGGCTCGGGTCAAGGTGCTCGGAAATCCTCCACTGGCCTCTCCCAGAAAGCGTCACGCGGCTAGGGTCAAGGTCCCGGTAGGGGCGAAGCTCCTCGGGCCCACCCGGGCGGTGGGGCACAAAAGTCTCATCGTGATGGGGCCGGGGCCGGCCAAGGTAACAATCATCCTGGAGCCCCGACGAAGAAAGAAAGTCAAGGACCTCAGCGTGGCGGGCCGCAAGCTGAAGTCCTTTTCGCCCTGGCTGAAGCAATGAGCCGCCCAGCCGGGCGCACGCCTTCACAAGCTCCCTAAGACGACAAAGAGCAGAGGACTGCACCTTTGAGGGGGGCCTCCGCAAGGCCTCCGGCGGCACGTGCTTCCCCTCGGCATGAAGGAAGTTAAGCGCCAGCACCACCACACAGAGAACAACACTCACGTGCTGGGCTAAGGTGCGGCGGCGTTTGCGGGGCCTGCCGGCTGCCAAAGAGGAGGGCAAAGGCAGGGGAAGAGGGCGGAAGCGACAGGCAGGGAGCTGTCGCGGTGCAGTGGCAAAGCTGTGGCAACAAAGTGTGCAAAACAGGTGCCAGACTTAAGCACCCGACGGACCAAAGAAGAGGCCCAAACCCGAAAACTAAATTCACACCCTGGCCTAAGGGAAGAACCCTCAACCGGGTGAGCATGCATTGCTTGCTGCTTCCCAACCGAAGCACTTGGGCGAGGCTCGCCCCCAAGGCCGGACCGAGAGCCGGCACTTAGGCCTGTTTTCCGGCAGTCGCCCGTTTCGCGGCCCAGGCCGCCGCCCTTTGCTGCTTCTTTGAGAGGGCCTCGGCATCGGCCGGGGGCTTTGGAGGCAGAGGCTTCTCGGGCGGGCTGGGCTTTTTCGGCTGGCCTGCCTCGCTCCTTCTCTGACCTATGGCCTCTACCTCCTTCAGGAAGGACACGGCAACAGTTATCCACCGCTGGTCGGCAAGCTGGCTGAAAGTCCGCGCGGCGGTGGAGACGGGGGCCGGGCCCTCTTGGACGAAGCTGGGGGATCGGCTTGCAGGCTGAGCAGCCAGGCTAACGTCATGTCGCCATGGTCCAGGTTGGCCTGGTCGATGGCCAGCTGCACCAAAGCCAGCAGGTCGGCACACTTCTCTGGCGATGCCTGGTCGAGGTGGTCCGCAGCCTGGGCGGTCATCCAGGCGAGCAAGGCTAAGGTGCGCTGCCTTCCATATCCTCCGTACCTTTCCAAGTACCTGACCATGGTGGCAAAGTCCGCCCCAACAAGCCCCGTGGGGTTCATACGCAGGGCCGCGTTCCGGCGGATGCGCTGTGAGAACACGCCGGGGGTGCTGGCTAGCTCCTGTTGCAGCTTCTGCCTCCCCAGGGCCCCCCGAACAGAAGTCGTGGAGGGGCTGTCTAGCATTGGCTCCGAAGAGCCCTGAGCAAGCTGGCCAACCAGAGAGACCAGGGCATTTGACTGCGCTAGCGCGGCTGCTGCCAGAGAGTCCGGGGCGAGAGCCTGGGTTGCGGGCGGCTGCGAGTCGCCGCCTCCAGTGATAAGTGCTAGCTGGGCCTCGTGGTCGATGTCGGGCGAGGGGAGCTTGGGCCTGGCACGAGTCGCGGGGGGCGGCCCCACTAGGTGATGAATGGACTTCGGCACATGCTGGGCCGGGGGTAACACCGAGGCCAGGGGAGCAGACAGGCCGGGAGCTGCAGCGCCAGCAGGCAGGCCGGGAAGGCCGAGCCAGGGGGTTGCAGCCCGCCGTGGGAGGAAGCAAGGTCGCGAGCTGCTTTGCCATACCACGCACGAGCTCCTGAAGCGCAGCCTGGTCCTGGGCCAGGGTGGCCACCGTTATGCGTTTCGCCTTGGGCTTCGGCCTCTGCAGGGGGGGCGGTTCTTCCACCGCTGTCTGGTAGCCTGACCTGGCCTCGTGCAGGACCTCTGCTGCCCACTCGCGGGCCTGCTGAAGAACTTCGGAGGCAAGGGGGAAGAGACCGGGGTCCTCGGCAAGAAAGGGGACCCCGCCAAAAGCCGCCAAGTCGGGCACACTTAAAGCCGGAGCCAGCTCGGAGGGGAGATCCACCACAACCGCCCCGATGGCCTCGTCGGTACCTGCTGCTATCCATTCGCCCGAGGCTGCAAGGCGGACCGCTGAGGCTTCGAGCTCCAAGGAGGGGCCCAGCCCCTCGGGCGAGTCGTTGACCAAACCTTCCTGGAGGGCATCGCTGGGCAGGAAGCCGGTCGGCAGGCACAGCACGAAACCCTCGGCGCGTTTCATAACCACATAGGAAATGCAGGTGGCTGGGTCTCCCAATCCTCCAGGGGGCCAGGGCCAGGTGAACTCCAACAGTGTAACCTGGCCTGCCTCCACGGCGGGGAGCGAAGGGTAGTCAAGGCCCGCGCCTGCAAAGTACAGCCTGGCCTCAGCCTCGGAAGGGAAGCCGTGGGAGATCGAGCCTCCACGGCGGAGCTCACCGACGATAGCCTTGTAGGCCGGGAAGGAATGCACAATGGCGGGGCTCCCAAGGCCCTCGGCCGCAATCACACAGTACACTCTGTTGCTCAGGCCAATGGAGCCCGAGTGGTTGGGGCTCTCTACTTGAGCCTCAAGAACAGCTCTGGCCCAGCAGCCGGCTGCCCACGCACGCAAAGCCCGGGCCTGCCAAGATACAGAGCCTCCACGGAGCACGCGGCAGGAGTCAAAGAGGCACCTAGGCAACTCTGGGAAGGAAGCCTCGACCTCTGACCTAGGCCTCAGCGGGCCTTGCAAGGGGTACTCTGGCACGCGAAGGGGCGAGGGAAGGGCTGACCTGGCAAGGACCTGAGACCTGACGGGCAGTGGGGAAGACGACAAAGGAGGCTCGGCCGCCTCTGCACGGGTAGGCTGGCTCGGGGCAACGGGGGCTTGCGAGGAAGCACCTGAGGCCTGCGAGGAGAGCAAGGACCTGACCTGGGACCTGGCAGAGGGCCTGCGACCCAAACCTGCGCCTGAAGACGCCTGGGGCCCGGAGGCCTGCAAGGGGTAAAGCGAGTCGGGAGGGGGCAGAGAAGAGTATGCGGGAGGACTGGCACCGGGGTCCACAAGTTCGAAGGAGGAAGTCGAGCTCTCCAAAGAACTGTGGCGGATAGGCTCGGAGGCACTGGGGTCAGGGTTAAGGTTAATCCTAGAAACCGAAATCCGAAAACCGCTCACCTCAATGTGCAAGTCACTGTCCATGCGCGTACTCAGCCAGCCTCCGCCTCGCTCCGCTCGACAAAGCTCTGGTGACCTGTGGTCGGTCCTCGGGAGCCAGGAGTCGCAGGCGGGCCTGCCCAGGTCGGAAAAGGAGCCAGCCCAGAACACTCAAAACGCCCAGCAAATAAGCAGCGACCAAGCTGCCAATACCTGGGCCCCTGCAGTGACTGGGGCAGCCCAAGCCCCACCAGTTGCTATCTGAGCCCTGAAGAACAAAGGCAGTCAGGGCCCTCAAAAGCTCAAGGGACATCTACCTCTAGCTTGAAGTCTTGAGACAGCCGTGGCATCATCCGGAGCTCAGCTCTAAAAGTCAGGTGGCATGTAGCGTCCCAACTGCAGTTGCTCAGTCACGCTCTTTGATAGAACTGTAGGTTGACGAGACGTCTGCAAGGCAGTAGCAAATCCAGGGCACTGGCTGAACCGTCGTTGCAAGCGTGCACGCCGCTTTCCACCCAGCCCACCACATCGAGCCATGCTACCTGCTCACAAGCCCCCCCCTTCCATCGTTTTCTGCAGCTTCAGCAGTGGTTGGTCTCCGGTCCCCATGGACCTCACCGGACTTGAGTAGGCAGACCGGAAGCTTGTAAACATCCGTCACAGTGATGGTTCGCACCTCCCAACATGAAGCATTTTAGTCCCCTCTTCTTGCAAGCTTCCCTCCACCTCTTGTGCCGCAGCACGCCCCCCTGAAATTTCTCAGTGCATCTCAAAGCCTGGCGACAGACGGCTCGGACTCACGGAGCCCGCTTTCGACCACGAGCAGATGGCAAACGAGGCAGCTCGAGCGAGACCATCAGAGGACCTGGCAGCCGGACATTGCCGGGCAGATTCATCACAGGAAAGAGTCAGCGTTGTCGTTAACCCAGTTACTTAAGAATCTCATCTGACTGCTCCAGTGTGAGTGCACAAAGCAAGCAGAACACCACTCACCCCTCCCTTGCGCAAGTCGAGTCTTAGGGTTCAGAGGCTGGTGTGATGCGGCGAGCCAACATCCAATCTCGGTAAAGTCCACACTGTTTAGACGTGATGTTGATTTCAATGTTCAGGAACTTCTGCAGCACCAATGGGCCTGCTAAGCAGTGAAGCGATGCTAGGGGCTGTACCCCGTTCGAATTGGGCAGCATCGATGCAGGTGCCGCCGATTGAGCGCGGAACACTTCAAAAGCGCGAGAATCTCGTGGACTTTATCCTGGCCGAAGAGATGCTGCGGGCTTCCATTTACAGCACATTGTCAGCACATGATTCCTTGGGTGACATCATCTCAGCACAGAGTCGTCGACACTCCAACCTTGGGTGTCTTATGACAAAGCAGTCGGGATGAAGCTTTTTGGTCACCCAGAGAGCAGAATGCCGGCGAAGGAGGCAGCCACGGCCACGGCCGTGCTTCTGCCCTCTGCCCTCTGAAGGGCTCACAGCCCGCTGCAAATGGCATTTCCACTGCCACAAACTTTGACGGAAGCGGGCCATAGAGGACACGCGACAGCACACCGCCTCGGCACAGTGCAGCTTGCGGCAGATTCAACTCTCTCCTCGCTTGCAGAGAAGAAGTGATGTACGGCCTTGGACTAGTCTAGTCGGACCCTCTGTCCAACATGGATCGCAGTATGCAACTGAAGTCGCTGATGGAACAATCAGCACAAACTGAAGAAGACCAGCTGGTAGCCGTACTTGTAGCACTACTCTTAGCGTCGTCGACGCGGTGGCAGCAACGGCAGCAAGAATGATGCATTTGAAAGATGCGGTGCTCTTATCCGCAAAAGAGAAGTAATAATAATACTAAAAATACGAGTAAAAATACTAAAAATTCGAATAACAATACTAACCACAATAGTGTAACATTAATAAGAATAAAAAAGGCAGAAGTAGCAGTAGCCCCTTGCGCCGCCATGGAAAACCCAAGGACCAGGCCTGGGTCTCAGAGTCACCTGCCCTCCTCTGAGGTTCTGCAGAACGCGCTGCACCTCACAGCTCGGAACACAGACAACGATAGTCCTAAGAATACTAGTATATATTCGCAATAAGAAGAATGAAGAATAACAGTAGCATAGTATAATCTAGCATAGTATACTACAACATAGTAAAATAGAGTAGAATATAGCATGATATAGTATAGCATAGTACATTATAGTGTATCATAGGGTTGTATATTCTGTTATATAAGATGTCTAGTGAAAAGCATTGTAGATTCTTTACATCATGTTATATTATGTCAGCATATTGGTATGTACAACTATATGTTTAAACTCATCACATCACATCCCATCACATCCCGTCACATCACATTACAATGCGTTACATTGCATTACATTGCATTACATTGCATTACATCGCATTACATTGCGTCACATTGCATTACATTGCATTACATTGCATTACATTGCATTACATTGCATTGCATTGCACTACATTGCACTACATTGCATTACATTGCATTACATTGCATTACATTGCACTACATTGCATTACATTGCATTGTATTTTGTTGCACTTTACTATACTACATTGCATTAAACTGTATCACGTTATGCTACCTGTTCTTTTTGTTAGAGCTGCATGAGCTGATACCTCTGCGACAGCTACAAAGGATGCAGAAACCACAATGTAAGGTGAAATTTTTTCTTGCTGTGACGATGGACATAGTGTGTGCTACTTTTCGTTCTCTTCTGGAAGGAATGCGGGAGTCATCTGTGTTGATTGCTTTGGTTCGTTTCTGGCAACCAATTTTTACAGTTAGCCACGATGGTAAACGTCATCGTCGTTCGCATGGCTGGAAAGCAAGCGGAACACGACGATGGCAGACGGACGGTAGAAGCTTGACCGAGCGACTGCATGTCCAGAGGCGAACGTGCATCACATGCATTCAATCTGCGATCGTGGCAGGCCCCCTGAATCTGACGAAGAAATCGGCCACATCAAAACGCATCGGAAACATGTTGCCAATCAATAAAGTCAATAGTCAATAGAGGAGCTGTCCCACCTGCATGCTCAAGACTTCGACACGATTTGCTGAACCATCTGCAGATGATAGGGTCCTCAGCAGCACATCTCGGCATGTGCTCATCCTGGTTTCTACACAGTCTCCAAGGCTACAGCGCTGGCCTCGCGCAAGCTGAGATAGCACTGTCCGAGGTCTGCTGCGGCCCATAGTAGCTCCTTCGCAGGAAACAGCAGAGCGCAACACGGTGCAATCTGACCAGCCGACCTAAACCTATCAGAAGCAGGAGCCTGAGGAGCAGGCTGTCCCACCCGGCAGTTGACCGCATACCAGGCACTCCACACACAGACTAACGGAACGAGGGAGCCTCCGTCTGTTGACGTCGTAGCAAAATGGATGCTGCAATTGCAAACGTATTGGCTCTGGTCAAACCCATCGTCAGTTCCCAAGAGTTTAGGTTTAGGGTTTAGCTTAAGGGGTTAAGAATAGAAAGGTTCAGGCATTCACGGCTTGGTGGTGTGTGGCTTGTGTTGTAAACATGACACGTGCATCCAGACAATTCCAACTAACTATATATCCCTCGACTAGAGTGGAAATTTGGGATTCACCACCATCAGATTTCCAAACAATCACAAGGCTTACGCCCTTACAGCCTTGGGCCAATCAGCTGCGACGCATGATCAGTCTGTACCAAAACCTACAACAAACCACTGCGAACTGACAACAGGCACGAAAAACATCTGCAATCTACACATGCAAACACGTAAGCCTAAACCTCATACCCATGCCAAGGCATCCTCACCGCACATGCAACCCAGGTAATAAGCATCAACATGCTCACTGCAGGAACGTGACATATCTAGTAATCTAGTGGCCACATGTTCAGATGCGACATGCATGTCAAGACAAACCGTGTCCGTGTCCTGCCACGGCTCTGCGGCCAAACGCCCAAGTGCCTGCAATGATTTACAAATTGGCCCAAAAACTTCTCTATGAATGCATGCGTTCAGAAAGTAAACTTATGCATAGACATCATGTAAAATCAGTTTAACACGCTCGTGTTACCCAGCTTGCGTCCCCTTCAATTTCAAAACGCTCTGCACATTGGTTCCGGCGTTGGGCTAAGACCCGCTCTCACAACTTCTACCGAACTTTCACAACCATTCGAGGCCGCCATAAATGTCCCAGCCAAACAATACGATCCAAGAGGGTTCTGAAGCGATTTCGTAATCGTCCAGAGACATGGTCCTTTTTTAGCACTGCTTTCTTGTGGGAAGGGCAAGTTCGCTCCTTCATGTTGAAAGTCGCGGACACGACTTGTCTTCATTCGTTATTCCTTTCTGACTCCGGCTGGGGGGGTAACAAAAACTGAACATTTGCCCAGCTACGGGGATTTCCCACCTCCCTCCCTGGAACCAAAATGTTGCACAGCGCACAGGAAGAGTTTCTCTGGTCTCCTTGCAGATTTAAAATGATTTAAACATTCCCTTTCTTTTTGCGTGGGTTGGCATCGATGGCGGCATCCGCCGCACTCGATCCAAGCGAATCAACGAGAATCCGAACACTGGGTGAAACGAACCTAAAAGCTGCAAGGTGAACGACCAGGTTGGTCAGCACTTGTTCAGCTAGCCTCAGAATCTATACAGGAGGCACAAAACTACTCAGCAGCCTGACGCAGAGACAAAGGCAAGTCGTCACCCGCAACTGCTCGAATGAAGGGTGGTGCCCCAAGACCAAGGACACCGGCAGTGGTTCTAGTCCCATCGGACAACGAACAGCCCCCTCCAATTCATTTCCGCGTGGCTGTGCACACTGAAGTCCAAAGTCCATGGCAGAATGAAATCCTGCACACGGAAGCACGATGCAAAATGTGTGCAAGGTGACCACGCCTCAAGGCAGGCAACGGAATGCACGGCCAGATGCCCGCCGAGCATCCATGACGTCATCTTCCCGACAGTACGTCGGAAGATGAAAGCTGTTGAGGAAATGCGGTCCGCAGACAGCAATATTCGACGGGCGAAAGAGCCAATCACACATCCGTGCCGTG